GAATTCTTTGGAGTGAATGCCAGGCGTTACGTTTGAAGAAAACCAGGCACTGCTCATCACCAGGCTAATACCATCACTACAGTGAAGCATGGTGGTGGCAGCATCATGCTGTGGGGATGTTTTTCAGCAGCAGGAACTGGAAGACTAATCAGTAAAGAGGGAAAGATGAATGCCGCAATGTACATAGACATCCTGAATGAAAACCTGCTTCAGAGTGCTCTTGACCTCAGACTGGGGCGATGGTTCATCTTCTAGCAGGACAATGACCTAAAGCACACCGCCCAAATATAATGTGGCTTCAAAACAACTCTTTGAATATCCTTGAGTGGCCCAGCCAAAAGCCCAGCTTCATTCTTTGGAATATATTGTACAAATTTAGGTAGATTATAACCTCAGACAAACACAGAACACCCAAACACTGCAGTGCTTTTTTATACTATGGATGTCAATAGTTACAGGTATCCAGTTTTCTTCCAAATGTTTACTTTTGTGTAAAAATGAAAAGACAAACAGGATTGGAAAAATTGAATGATGAGAGAATTTTAAGTTTTGGGCAAACTTCAAGTATTTTGAATATGTCAATTCCGAAAAGCGAGCTGCAGTTTATTTTGTATTTTTATATTTATCTTTTATTTTTTATTTTTTAAAGTAACTTAAAAGAAAAGTAATTAGTAATCTGACTCCTTTTTATATGAAGTAATTAGTAATGTAATCAGATTACAATTTTCCAGTAGTTATCAGTAATCTATTACTTTTTTAAAGTAACTTACACAACACTGATAAGATTACATATTATCCAATAGCAATCTGTATTTAAATGCTATAAAAACAAATGTGAATGGACAAAGCAAAAATAAGCAATACATCATTTACGTAGATCAATACCTACTTGATGTGGGTCTCACCTGATGCGTGTGAAAGCGTAGAGGAGGTAGGCTGCAGTGTTGCCCCTGTCGTCCAGCATCTTGTCAAACGAAAAGACGTAATCATTGATGCGGTTGTGGGAAAGATCTGCATATTTAATGCAGCCAAAGGCCACGGCCTGCTGAGCCTTTTCCAGCTCCTCTGGAGTCAGCACCTGTAACACATCGATACTCACATCATGTAACACATCAATACTCTTACACAGAAGGACAGAACTACAAACTACAATTACTAGTATCATTCAAACTAAAAACAAATCTATTCCGCGATCACCTGAACCCCTGTGAACAAAACCAGGGCGCCCTCTACTCTACCCCCACCACACCACATGCTAACCTTAAAACGTTATGCAATTTTGAGTGAGCGGCCTCACACAAGTGAGTGGGCGTGACAAACCACTTGTAGAAAACACACTGTGCACCAGTTTTTGCACATTTTCAGACATTTTCTTACAATCATTCCATATCTCAAATAAATAGCATTGTGCATATATAAAGTAGGGCTGCACAATATATCATATCACAATGTGCGTGTGCGCAATAGTCGCATCACAAGATCAGCAATGTTGAGTTATGAATGTAGATGACCAGACTCCACAGGTCAAAACACGTGAAATTTGAGGAAACACTGCAGAATTGAACCATTATAGAGTAAAAGTTGAACATAAAGAGCATCAAGTTTTAAAAAATAAATGTTATTAAATTATTATTTATATGGTGAAGACTAAGCAATGCTCTTTTACGTTTGATTATTCAATTTCTGTACACGATTACTGTGAAGATGCTGCCCAGAAAATCATTAAAGCTTTAAGATTGAGTTCATGAGAACAAGACAAGCTTTTTACACTTTTAATGTAATGTAACGTGTATTTTTATATATCGCTTTTATTGTGTATGGCCATACACCTAAAGCGATTCACAATCATGAGGGGGTCTCTCTACTTCACCACCAGTGTGCAGCATCCAGTTAGATGATGTGACGGCAGCCACAGGAAAATGGCACTCACTACACTAGCTATTAGTGGAGTGGAGAGACAGAGATACAGCCAATTCGGAGGCCATGATTGTAAGGGCCGATTGAGGGACTTTGGCCAGGACACCGGGGTTACACCCAAGCGGAAACCTTCCGCTCTACCTCGGGAAGCCAATACGGAAGTAACTAAAACAGCAATTAATCTACTTGCCTAGGGGTCCAAGTGATTTTTGACTGCAAAGGAAACTGGCCATTTTTACAGCTGATAAAAACACGTTTACAGCCTGGTACAAATGATGGCTTTAGTGCATTTAGCTATGATTAACCTTTATAACAACTGTGAGGGAGTGATTTTTTTTTTTAACTCATTCGTTTCCTTTTTATTAAGTTATATTAAGTCTGCATAACTAGGAGCGTGACTTGAGTGACAGCTAGGTCTCGCTGCTCGCCATCTCGTCACCTCAGCTGATTCTAGCTAATTAGCCACTGAGCTCGGCATTTACATCGTATTTTTGTTTGGGTTAATGTTTCTTAACACAGTCAATTGCCTTTTGGGATCGCCCTGGGTGCGATGACATGCGAACAAAATGGCGACATTTGGCCGAGCCTACATGTAACTTCTTTTGCAGTGTTAAGAAACCTATGGGTGCCATCACAGATACTACGTCCATATCTTTTACAGTCTATGGTTACACCCCTACTTTTTACGAGAAGTGCCATGGGATTTTTAATGACCACAGAGAGTCAGGACCTCGGTTTAACGTCTCATCCGAAAAAGGGCGGCCACTGACTGTGGTGTTCCCACACTTTTACTGGGGCATTAGAACTCACACAGACCACAGGTTGAGCACCCCCTGCTGGCCTCTCTAACACCCCTTCCAGTTTAAAAAAAATCCTTAATGATGAAGCATGTGAATGGAATAGTCTTAGAATTCAAATATTTTGCAGGTGAGTTGAGTCTCCAGCAGTTCAGGATGAGTGTGCTTAGAAATGTGTGCAAAGAATGTAGTGTCAAACAGCAGTGTGGACTGTCCTGTCACAAAATGCTGCTAAAATTCCTACACGATGGTAATAGTTTGACTGCGGTGTTTAAATATCTGTACTGCACTTCAATAATGCAACTTTCAGCACATCTACAGTGATATTCCATCACATGGTAAAGTCTATGGTTAATTTGTGTGGCTGCATTATCTGCAGCCTCTGGTTGGACATGAATAACAGCTTAAGCGGTTACGTCACACTCGCCCACCCAACTGAGTGACATGTGCAACACAGAGGCCAGTCTTACCAGGTGTGTGTAAGGCACTTGATTTGCGGGTCAAATTCAATATTGCTTCTAATGTTAAATGCTAATTTCACCCTCACGCTACATCATGACAACATTTGAACTCACGAGACAACTTTTCACCTCGATGAGGAATCTCGTCGCTATTTAATCTATTTAATCGTGACACCCCAATCGTACCGATCGAGCCATGAAATGTGATTATCGGCCGTTATTACAGAACGATCGATCGAAACATCCCCACACAAGGGTTAAATGATTTGTACATCAGCCTGCATGTGCTAATGGGAAACGCAGAAACACTTAGAGACATGAATTGACAATGAAACCACATTAGTCAACTAAAAAACAAATAAAAAAAACAACAGTTAGGAATTTACATGCGATTCCATTTACAAGAACAGATGGAGGGATCCCTTCACGCATTTTATCCTAGTTTTACATTACTCTACCCATCTCTGCAAAGAAATCAATAACAAAGCAGCTTTCTGTGATTAAATGTGTTAAATTTGACCTTGATAATGAACTAAATCTGCTCATTTTTAAAATCTGGGAAACATTTTCACAAAATTTGACTGAAATTATTCTACTTCACTTTTGAGCATCAGTAGATGTGACCCACTTCACACACCATATTGGATTTTGCACAGAATAGCAAGCAATTAAAAGAAAATGAACAGATAACTAGTGTTAAAGAGTGCTTTAACAAGAAAAAAAAAGCTTCAGATCAGATCAAATGTTGGCTCTGTCCTACATCGCTGGTTCGAACTGATTATGCTCACAGGAACACTGCACACGATTACACGCTTTCTAACTTTTCTGCCTAATTTAATGCAGCATATGCTACTTTCAATGTTCCTGACAAATAAGGCATTTGGCAAAAGTCAGATTCGCTTTAGGGAAATGATGTGTTTTTATAAATAATACAACCTAAGTAAACTAAACATCGTAAGTGTTATATTTCAAAAGACGTCTATCTCTTCGAAATGTCTAAATGCATTTGCATTGCTTACTTGTGTCTGAAATTATATAATTGCCCCTTTCAAACTCCTTTACTGTTAGAAGCTCATTTGTGAGATATCAATCAAGCGAGTGAGGCATTAGGAGGCTCTTCATATCCGAGCACAAAGGAGTTGTGAGTAATATAGGCAGTAATTGTCATTAGCGCATCTGGTCTCATTTGAGATCCATTGATCTATTCTGAATCAAGCTAATGGCACACAAAGCCAGCTAGATGGACGTTTTCAGGCAAGGATGTGCTTGTTTCCTCTTTTTTTTATATACCTTATCTCTCTCCTTCTCCTTCAGTTTGTCCATGGATCGTTTCAGACCCTCCTCCAGAAGGTCCATCAGTCGCACCGTGTCTCCTGAACGAGTCTTAAACTTTTTCCTGGGATAAACATTTCATATATATATTAAATATGAAGCAGAGAAATGAAGAATATAAAAATAAAGTACTGTTCAGCGCAAATATTTTCAATACGGGTAAAACTAGTGCTGCATGGAGCTCTGGGGCTGCAACTTGTAATTATTTTTGATGATAACTGATTAGTTTGTCAATTATTTCTTTGATTAGTTGAATAGTAATATTCTACTTGGGCATCTTGCTTGATTTTACTCCTTCAAACAACGTATGAACTGTTTTGTTTTAAGTTTAATATGTGACTATAAACTCACCGGCCACTTTATTAGGTACACCTGTCCTACTGCTCATTAATGCAAATTTCTAATCAGCCTATCACATGGCAGCAACCCAATGCATTTAGACATGTAGACATGGTTAAGATGATCTGCTGCAGTTCAAACAGAGCATCAGAATGGGGAAGAAAGGTGATTTAAGTGACTTTAAAAGTGACTTTAAGTGACTTTGTCGGTGCCAGACGGGCCGGTCTGTGTATTTCAGAAACTGCTGATCTACTGGGATTTTCATGCACAATCATCGCTAGGGTTTGAGTGTCGATTTTTGCTGCAACATTTGGATGGTAGGGTCAGAATTTGGCATCAACAACATGAAAGTAACAGTTCAGGGTGCTGCTGGTGGTGTAATGGTTTGAGGGATATTTTATTGGCACACTTTGGGTCGATTAGTGTAAATTGATCATTGTGTCTATGCCACAGCCTACCTGAGTATTGTTGCTGACCATGTCCATCCATTTATGACCAAAGTGTACAAATCTTTTCTAATGGGTACTTCCAGCAGGATAACGCGCCATGTAATAAAGTGTGAATCCTGTCAGACTGGTTTCTTAAACATGACAATGAGTTCACTGTACTCAAATTGCCTCCACAGCCACCAGAACTCAATCCAATAGAGCACCTTTAAGATGTGGTGGAACGGGAAATTTGCAGCGACAAATATGCAGCAGCTACCTGATGCTATCAAGTCAATATGGACCAAAATCTCTGAGGAATATTTCCAGTACCTTGTTGAATCTATGCCATAAAGGATTTAGGCAGTTCTGAGGGCAAAAGGCAGTCCAACCCGGCACTAGTAAGGTGTACCTAATAAAGTGGCCGGTGAGAGTATTAATGCAATAAATGAAGGTTTCAAATAAAATATTAATTTACTTAGAATTGTGTATTTTAACATGTTGTTGAAAAAAATGCTTGCAACAATATAATAGTAAAATTAAATTACCATTTAAAAGATATTAATGCCTTATGTTTCTTCTGCTCTCCAAAGTTCTATTTATTGTATTGAACACATTAAAACGGTAATACTATGAAAAATGCTTCTCGGTTTTTAATATATATTAAACTCTAATTTATTCCTGTGATTTATTCCAGCTTTTTTCATTTACCATTACTTCAGCTTTCATTCTCTATGATCCTCCAGAAATCATTTCAAATTGCTCAGAAAAGCTTTCTCATTGCCAGCGTTAAAAGCAGTTTGCTGCTTATTACTTTTGTTGAAACCATAAAAGGCTTTTTCCTTAGAATCTTCCAAATCTGAGAGGAAATATTTCGTCATTTTCCTTTAGTCATTCTTACTAAATTGAATGCAATCCTTTCTAAATTTTTGCAATAAAGTAATCAATAATTAAACATTGTTTTCATAGTAAAGCATTTCAATGCATTTAAAGTGAGGGCAAAATAATTGTTTATCAATAGGCTTCTTATCAGTAGGCCCACACAGAATCTTCGCGCGCAGAAATGCGCAGATTTTTAGCCAATCATTGAGCCTATTTATTTACTTGTGTAAACTTATATTTCTTCTATTTTTAATTAATTTAAGTAATATTACTGACTAATATGAAAATGTTTATAAGACTTTTTTTACAATACAGTTTGTAAAGTTATATTTTCTGTCTTTTTATAAGAGACTTGTTTTGTTTACATTTTTTTAACATATTAAGTTTTTATGCGATTAAGCATAAATCTGCAAATTTTTACAATACTTTGAAAAAAAAAAAACAGCAAAAAATGTCTGCCGATTTTGTTTGGCCCTAATGATCAGAAATCAATTTACAAAGCAATATAAATCATTATTATTTTTACAGACTACTACATGTTGCAGCCCTCTGGGTCACCCTGGTGGGAAAACTACAAAGGTGACTTCTAAAATGATCAGTGCACTTACTTGTCCTCTCCGAGCACAACACCGAAACCTGCATGTTCCACCCGTGTGACCTTGGGATCATACCAGCCAATCAGCTGAGCGGCAGCAAAGATCACCTGGAAGTGCATTGCCTTCCGAAAGTTGCAGTCAATGCCAATGAAAAAAACACACAAACACACACACATAGAAAAGATTTAGATAAATGGGCATACATTTACAAAGCACCTTAAGCTCTTAACTTGCCGACTTAAGAGAAAATCTTAAAAATAATTGGTGCATCAGTCCATTTCACAAAAAGCTAGCTCCTAAATCCATATAACATCAGAGGCAGTGAAGTGGACGATTTAAGACCAAACAACAAGCTATCCTAAAATAGCTGTTACAGCCAAACTTCCTTGGAAAGAAAACATTTTACAAGCATTTGGGGCTCTATTTTAACGATCCAAGCATATGGTTTAAAGCACACAGCGCAGGTAGACTTAAGCTATGTTTGAATCCACCTTTGCTAGTTTAAGGATAAGAAAAACAGTATACGCATAGTCTAAGAGCTGTCCTAATTCTCTTAATGAGTTTTGGGTGTGCTTTTTGCACAATGTGCATTAAACCAATCAAAGTCTCATCTCCCTTTGCCTTTAAGAGACAGTTGCATTCGCTTCATGGTGGATTCACTATTTACATGGCGGACTTTGTAAGTGGAAAAAATAAAAGCTTCACCAGCGAGGAAACTGATCGATTAGTCAAATAATTAGCCAATTTCATTTGTCATTACTGCAAACAGGTAATTTTGATACATGCAATGGCTGTCCATTAAGACATGAAGACATTTTTATATTTGTACAGACAATAATATTATTTTATATCTTAAACCTTTGATTTTTCATATTTACAGTTTTATTAAACTGCACCACTGACGTTGGATCAACATTTAGTTGGTTAAGGCTGCATATCAACTAAAGCGTTTTTTTTTCCCTCTCTATCTGAGTGTTTGTTTTTAGTCGTCAATGGTCCCGCCACATCTTTGAAGTCCTGCAGCGTAACAAGTTGCCAAGTGGCTGTTTCCTGTTCATGGGTGAGCACTTTGTATTTTTTTAAGCATTGCAAGTTCATTGTCACTTTTGAGCTAGACGTAAAAATCACAGTGGGGGAAGGGCAGGACAATATCATGCAAATGATTGGTGAACACGTAGCCTAAGGGGCCAAACACACCAAATGTACTTTTTGCGTTGATGTGCGCCTTTTTTGACTGATTTACTAACCGCCGCGAGCGTTCCGTGCGCTGCTTATGCTGCGCGCCTCATGTTTTAAAAGGTCATGAAACACCAAAACACATTTTTTAAGATGTTTACAGTCGTATATGTGTCCCACACCGCTAAAAAACACTATTAGGACACATATTTCTTACTAAAAAGTGAAAACTGGTTTTATTTTGCGTTATTTTGAGCAAATTCGTTCTTCTAGTTTGAAACTAATTTTTGAAGCTACGTCACAGTGATTAGATCCTTGTGTGTATACCAGCGTGAAGACTGGATGTCTGTATCAGCAAGTACATCATGACACCTGAATGTTCACCATTAATTCAAAAGATAGACTTGGTTTAAACCAATCAGTGCACTCTACAGTGAATGAGGTCAACTTCATTAATATGCATGCTAGAGACACCACATTGTGTTGCCAAAACAAGTGGAAGAACAAGAATTGTTTGGAGACATGTGTCATCAGTGTTTTGTTTATAAATGTGCTGCAATTAAGGTTTTATTGTAATTTCCTGCTATGAGAGCGCAGAATTTTTGCCATATTTTGTGACAGGATAGTCTATACACACACGGCTTTCTGACACTACCTACCGAGTTCATCTAAATCTTTCTTTTCTCCTATTCGCTGTGCGGCATCAAACATTCCATAAAAAAACTACACTCTTTCAGCAGTTCCACGCATTCAGTATCTTGTTTGTCATGTGGGGGGCATGCATAAAATATATTCCTGAATGAAAGTGAAAGTGCCAAACTGGAGTTAAAGTCGACAAATTAAATATTTGGCAAACAATTCGATTACTGTTGTCCAGTGGTGGAAAGAGAACTGAAAAATCATACTCAAGTAAAAGTACCATTACATGCCTAAAAATGTAGTGCAAGTAGAGTAAAAGTATCTGTTGTAAATTTTTCTCAAAGTATGAGTAAAAAGTAGCCCTTTTAAAAGTACTCATGAGTAATGAGTAGTGAGTTTTACGCTGTGAAAAGCTGATGCGTTTACATGTAACTTGTAGATGTGTGTAAACGTAACATTCTGTAGTGCATGTAGTTATTGGCCAGTAGGCACACAATGTCATAGGACGTTAATATTAGGTTAGATTTAGGTTGTAATGTCAAGTGACCAAAATTCAATGTCTAGCCAGTGTCTAAGGATAACGTTGTTTTGATGTCTAATAACAACGTTAAATGACGTTGATATTTAGTTGATTTTAGGTTGTGTTAGAAAGTGACTAAAATCCAATGTCAAACCAACATCCTAAACCAACATCCTATTGACGTCAAATACTGATATTGATTTTGGACGTCTTCTTGGACACTTTTAACGATTCCAAACAGTTTGTTGCATTTATAAATCGCCCATGTCTTGAGGTAATTCATTATGAGGAGATTTACCTTCTATGTGTGATTTGATTAGACAGGAATTACAGGACTGATTTTCCTAATCACCATAGACAAGAAAAAATAAAGTAGTGACTGCAGGTTGAAGGAAAGTAGTGAAGTAAAAGTACAGATACAGCACTAAAAATGTACTCAAGTAAGAATATAAGTACACATTTTTAAAACTACTCAGTAATTTACAATTCCTGAGAAAAAGTAATTAATTACAGTAATTTGAGTATTTGTAATTAGTTACTTCACACCACTGCTGTTGTCCATGTAAACACAGTCACTGTCATTCTCTCCTGTGTCTGTGTTTGGTTTGCCTCTGTGAAAATCAGTGCGTGCTCAAATGGAAACTCCCATTTTTATGCAAAACCTTCCCTCTTTCCCTCCCTCGACACTCCTACCTAAATAGAACTAGACTTTCTCACTTTCCTGACTTTTTTTTAAACTAGAGGTGTTAAAACACCGTGCTGAGACAGGGGGGTTTCGTGACCCTTTAACCGCCTGCTGCACCTCATGTTTTTGCTGTTGCTTGCTGTGCGCTCGCAGTTGGAAAAAAGTTAACTCTTTGCGGAAAACCGTGTTCGGTGACAGCAGTGTGTGTTGTCAAGACTTTTGAAGACAGAGGAGGGACTAGTGGTTACTGTTTTATCCGGAGCTGTTCGACTTCACAAATCTTGAATATTACGTGCGCCTCAGTGTTTTTAGAACGGCAAAGTGCGTTTGGTATGATGGGCCCCCAAGAGTGCAGTTTTTTTTACTTGCCTTTTCAGACCAGCATGCCCAATGAGCAAACAAATGGGCACAAATGCATTCGTTATTTAAACAATGTGGCGCTGTAAAATGTTACAGTACACACACAAAAAAATATTAATTTGGTTGTATGATAGGTCTCTTAATAATAACAAGGATTTACAAAGGTGTGGCTTTAATTGTGGGAATATTATGACTGTTGTAAAACTTGTCAGGAATGCAGTCAAAACATTTGCATGTCTTACTATTAGCAATAATTATTCTACTCGGGTAATTAAAAGGGTGTTTATATGCATATCCGCTGGTTGCAAAAAAAAAAAAAAAAAACAAGTGCAAGAGCCTGACAATCACCATTTGTTTAATTATTCATTCATTATCCTTTAGCATTGTCCCTTATTTATCAGAGGTCAGGTCACCACAGCGGAATGAACCACCAACTATTTCACCATACGTTTTACACAGCGGATGCCCTTCCAGCCACAACCCAGTTCTGTGAAACTTGTTGAATTAGACACTCAATTTAAATATCAATGTTTTCATTTCTAAACATTTATTTGAATAGAGCAACACAAGCTCTACTCTCTAAAAGTTCCTATGAATAAATTTCTGACCGAGACCCCTCAACCTCAGCCAATCACTTGTGTGCATAATTAGTAAGCCTGTTGACATCATTTGTAGCAATGAGGTCATCACTGCATCAATAAGGCTCTTAGCTTAAGAATCAAATCCTTAGTAAAAGTTGGTCTCAGCAGCTTTATGAATAGGTTTTAAAGGATTAGTTCACTTAAAAAAATGGAAAGTTCTTGGTTCTTAGGGAATTAATTGCTCACCCTAACAATATTCTACTCCCCTGAGACCTTTGTTTGTCTTTGAATGAAAAATTAATATATTTTAAATGAAATCAGAGAGCTCCCATACCCTCCATCGACAACAATGTTCTTGAGACCAAAAACATCCAAAACATTACATGTGAATTCAGTGGTTTAAAAAAGGTGCCTAATTGCTATTAAAGAGTCAAGAGCCCAAGAAAGCAAGTATTGTATTCCCCATAGTAAATGCACAACCTAGTCTGAGGAGAAAGCCATTGACAAACAAAGTAGTTTTTGACTTTTTTTTGGCAGACAAAATTGTTCTTGAAACTATGTATGATTACAGTTGAGACACTGAAGTCACGTAGAATGTTTAGACAAAGTTTTGGTCACACTTTATTTTGATGGTCTGTTTGTTGAATTTAAGTTACATTGCATCTACATGCCAACTAGTTCTCATTAGATTTTAAGTAGAGGTTGGGGTTAGGGCTGGGGTTAGGGTTAGCGAAGTTGACATTTAATTGCAAAGTTTATGGTCAGTTAAATGTCTGTTTAACAGCATTATCAACAGATATTAAGCCTACAGTCTGCTAATTCTCAAATGGACCATAAAAATAAAATGCTACCAAAGTTTTTGGTTCTTTTTCAGCACTTTGAATATCTTGTGACCATTGCTGTAGCTTAAATGGTTGACGAGAGGGCTAAAACATCTTAATTTGTGTTTTAAAGATGAACGAAGGTCTCTAAAAATTAAAAACCGACATGAGGATGAGAAATTACTGTTTACATAATTTTTCTTTTTGAGTAAACTAAAACAGACATTTTTTATATTAATGTAGAAAACAATATTATAATATCTTTAATACTATCAATAATACTATGAATAACATTTTAATCCTTTGATTTTTCATATTTATATTTTTAAAAGACCGCAGCACTCACATCAGATCAACTTTTTGGACTTTTGTCCACCGAAGCGTTTGTTTTCTGTTGGTGACAATAGTACCACCCCATTTTTTTAGCGTCTGCAGCATAGCAAGTTGTTTAGTAGCCGTTTTACACTCATGGTCAAGCACTTGGCATTTTGTTCAGGCATTGCAAGTTCATTGTTACTTTTGAGCTAGCCGGCAAATTACAGTGGATGAGGGACAAGGCAATACACTACCTGACAAAAGTCCAAGATTTAGGAACAACAAATAATAACTTCACTTCTAGTTGATCATTTGGTATCAGCAATGGCTTACATGAAAGGCAAAGGCCTCTAGATTACACTTATTTTACCAAAATAAAATATGATCATTCCTTGATTTTTGAATATTTAATTAGGATAGTAAGGTCTGACTTTGCTTAGACAAAAGTTGTGTCACTTAACAGAAATAATGTGCAGTATAGAATATAAAGTCATCATGGTGCAGTTGAAAAATAATTAATATTGTGTAACTCCCATGAGCTTGGACAACTGCATCCATACATCGCTGCAATGACTCAAATAACTAAATAATAAAGTCATCTGGAATGGCAAAGAAAGCCTTCTTGCAGGACTCTGAGAGTTCATCAAAATTCTATGGATTCATCTTCAACGCCTCCTCCATTTTTCCCTAGACATGCTTAATAATGTTTAAGTCTGGTGACTGGGCTGGCCAATATTAGAGCACCTTGACCTTCTAATTTGTGTATTGAAGATGAACGAAGGTCTCTAAGAATTGGAAACGACACAAGGATGAGAAATTGACATGATTTTGCTTTTTGGGTGCACTAAAACTCAGTTAAATCTTTTACTTCTATTTAGAAGAATCTTTAGTGATCAGATAAAATGTTTTGTAAATACAGGCCCTGCTATTCATTACAAGAACGTAAAAAAAAAATCGAATAAAACCCCCACTTTCTGCGATCAACTTCTTTATGATGACTCCTTCATTATATTCACCCAAATTGTCAACACAGTGCAGAATTGTAAAGCAGACGTGTAGCGATGTGAGCAGACCGTGTTCCTGACCCAGACCACATTAATATTTGAGGAGTCTACCGAACACATTTCGAAAAAATATACATGCTTTGAATTCTGGGGTGAAAGCGGCGCCCTTGACCCCTGCTGCACGTGTCCTCATACACATCAGATATCTGCGGGAAGGACTGTGCTCCGGGGCATGTTCAAGATTTCACAACACTCTCTGTGACACAAGCTACCCAGAGATCCAGATCTACACCCACACACCTGGCCGCTGTCTGTCACGTAGATGATGATGTCAGCTTTCTCGTCAAACAGACGATTTCTGATGGCAGCCAGATCCGAGGTATCGTAAGTATAGCCTCCATCCGACTTGACAATCGTCAGGGGAATAGACTGGCCAGGAGCAAACACTATCTTCCTGCCCTCGTCCACCTCCACCAGCCCTGACGAGAGAGAGAAGAGGAGCGACAGAGAATGTGAAAGAGGGAATCAAGTCAAGCGTAAAACAACACTGCCCCCTACTGGAAATGTGCGGTTAGAAATGTGCAACTCAGGAAAAAACAAACTCTATTGACAGCAAACTCAGCTTATTGTTGATTGCGCAGTAAAAACTTCTGGCTCAATTAAATCTCCTGGTTAAAAAAAGATGGTGTATATTGTATTGAATTTGCATTGAAAACCTATAGTATAGTTCACAGGTGTTTATTTAAGGTTATGAAATGCATTATAGGACCTTGATCTCGACTTTTGATTCAGGAATTATACTTTTAATTTAATGCAACTTTCATTTAGATAGGGCTGTGCACTATGACAATATTGTATAGACAAAATAAAAGCACTCAGTATTACATGCCATTGCAGACAGAAACAAGGATAACACCATCATGAGTATGTCTTAAAGCATTGGTTCTCAAACTGTGGTACGCAGGTTTCCTTTTAGTGGTATGCGGAGGAATCGCTAAATAATTAAAGTAACAAAAATGAACACACTTTTAAGCCTTTAACACGTATGAGAACACCAATATGATTAGTAAATTAATTTTAATATGCTAAATCTTTTATGTTATTATAAATTATCTAATGTTTGTTATGTATTCTATAATTTAAAGCTAAATTCCTCCCCATATTTATAACGGTTATTGGGGCGTATATTGTATTTTTATATCCCAATGTTGACAGGAATAGTATAATCACTTGCTTTTCTGATACACAAAGCCTACTCTAACGCACAGTAAACAGATCTTATATCTAATTTAAATATGTAAATTCAATTCATAGATTTAAAATATAAGTGAATGTTTAGATTTCAAAGATACACAAATAAGTCATATTTGCATGTAACATCTATAACAAAATTTATCAAAAAGAGTTTATATATCAATTTGATGACAAGTTGCATATATTTATGAGGTCCAAGGAACTTTTCCAGGTTTTGATGAATAGGATACTTTATAATAATACTTTACATGTAAGTGCAGCAGTTTTTTTTTTTTACTTTTTAAGAACAGTGCCATTTTTAATTAACTTTTAAAAGCACATTTCAATTTGAATGTTGACGTTTTATTTTATTTTTTTTACTTGTCAGCACAGTGCAGTGTTAATGTTATATTTATATATATAATATATAAATAAATATAATAAAATATATAATAATATAATAAAATATTATAATTATTTTTATAATTTTTATATATATATATATATATATATATATATATATATATGTATACATGCATACATACACATATAAATGTGTATATATATATATATATATATATATATATATATATATATAAAATTATTAAAATTATTAATATATATAATTTTTAATTAAAGAAAAAAAGCTAAACTAAAAGGTCCTGAAAAAAAAAAGACTAAAATGTAATCAATTTAGAGTTTAAGTTCTATTTAGGGCCAGACAGAATCTGCAGATATTTTTTTATTTCTACAGAGAATTGTGTCAAAAAAATATATAATAATAATAATTTGCGGATTTATATGGAATGATTTTAGTAGTGTCATAACTAAAAAGTTTATATATGAAATAAAAATAATCCCCTTTTAACTTTTATTTAATGTTTACAATGCAAATCCAATTAGATCCACTTATTTGGTAAACAAAGCAAGTCTCTAATATATTTTTTCTACTAAAAGACAAAGAATATTACTTTACAAGCTGTATTGTAAATAAATCATATGAGCATTTTAATATTTCTGCGATTATGTCACAATAATACTAGAGAAAATATATTAAAAAGCTGAAATGTACACACATTCACACAAGTAAATACATAGACTAAATGATGGGCTATAAATCTGCGGATTTCTGCGCACACAGATTCCGTGTGGGCCTAGTTCTATTTAATGTCTTGAGATTTATGTGGATTTTTACTTTTAATAACTTTTCAGACAAAGTATTCAGAAAAGTAACTTAAATACAAATGTTAATGATGCATATAGTAATTGATTTTTTTGTTTAAGCAACTTTCCTAACACTGATGAGGTGTTACAAAGTTGTTCTTGGGGCTTTGTATGATTACAATTACTGTTTTGATGACTTTTAATGTCTCAGGTCAAAATCAAAACCTGTGTTCCTAAGTTGAGTTAAGTTTTTGGGAGTTTACATCAACATTAGAGTCATAAATTAACAACAAAATTTTCATCTTTAGGTGAACTAACTAGAACGAATACAACTTTTTCTAATTACTTTAAGAACGACCAAAAAAAAAAAGATAATAAAAAAAATCAACTTCCACTGTACCTTTTTCCTCAAACTCTTTGACCACCGCAGTCATCATGTCCTGGTAGTAGGACTCTCCTCGCTCTTTTATGCTGATATCCAGGCAGTTGTAGACTTTTTGAAACTCTGCAAATCAGCAAAGTGGACAGAAGCGGAAGGGACAAGATGGTTTAATTACAGCAGTCACACCACAGGGAAATCAAACGCAGCACTCACCTGATTTAGCAAAGCCCGATTGGATGGCATCAGCAGAAAAAAAAGTAAATAAACACTAATTGACCTTCATTAGATAAGCCTCAGCGGAGGAGCGAGGGCTTGATTAAGGGGTAAAGTTAGATGCTGTCATATCAGTCTAGAGTTGCAGTCGCAGGAAACAGAAGTGTTGTAAAGTAGGCCATCTCTGTCAACTGGTTTGTCCTCTGCATTAAATATAAAAATAACAGCCCTGGGTAGGGTTGCGACAGTGTTTTGTAAGTTCTTGCTTAACTGGAATGTACTCCACACTTGAGTAGGGTAGTCAAAAGTATCAAGTTTCAAGTTCTGTACCAATCGCTACAGAAATTTTTCAAATATCCATTTCCCACTAACATTTGAGTGCTGTCAAGCATGTTCATAAACACCACTGATTGGCCATTGTGTTCATGTGCAAAACAGAAATGACTGTGGTTGGCTGTGAAAGTCATTAGTTCGTTAGTCATTTCTGTTGAGTGCTGTTTAACAATGTGTTCAGTAACGATTGGTACTAAACTCGATACTTTTGACAACAATACACTAGCGCTTAGTAACTACTAGCTAGTTTGTAACTAAATTTGTTGTTTAGTTCCTAGTTTGTTCATAATTAGTTGTTCGTAAGCATTCCGTAAAGAAATAAGTAGTCATTAAATGACGTTATACCCAATGATAAAGCTTTAAAATGTTAAACTGCTTTAAAATTCAGTATTATTATTATATGTTTCGCTCCAAGAAAAATACAAAGTAATGTGAACACAACCATGCAATGAAAATTAAATGACAAATTCAATTTTTATAGTAGGCTACATTACATTCCAGCCAGTCACTATAACATACGACACATACCAGGGCTGTGCGATATTGGAAAAATCTGACATTATATATTCTGTTAATTTTCGATATTTTGTTTTGCTGCGATATATGTTATATGAATATAATTTCTGAGCAGTGAAAGTTTACCTGCTCTTCTGATTTCTACCTCGGATTTCAAATAGAAATATTTGTTGTGCATTTAGGATTCCTAATTTTAATATTTCAACAAATTATTGTTGTCAGCATGTTTATCTTGATTTCATAATGCCAATATAATAGGAGTACAACACTAGTTTTGCCTTTTGTTTATTTTTATTTAGTTTTACGGTTCAAACAAACTCAGTATTTCATTTAATGTTTTAAATGTCAAAATTTAAAATTATTCAATTCAATTTGTGGCTTTTGCCACATATTAAAATATACTTTTATACATAATACCCTGATTTATGGATTTATATAGTTATAATAAGCTAAACATGAAATTAAAAAGTAATAAGTTTTTATCCGATAAACTAATCGGTTAAAAATATGATAGAATTTAATCAAAAGTAGAAAAAAAAAACATATAAAAGATGTATTATTATTACTTCTTGGTTTAACCCTTGTCAATCTCAAATCTGGTCAGATATATTTTATATTGCAAACGAGAGCATATGATTCACATCAAATGTGAATTTAAGTATTTGTGCAAGTAGATTATATTAAAGGTCAATGCAGATAATTAATGAATACCTTTATTTCCTCATTTTATTCAATATTTCTTTAATAGATGCAGAGCAGCATCAGTCTTTATGTTTTGATTTATTATTCGACTTTCTGGAGTCTGTTCTTTTTTACCCTGCTACTGTGATGGCTATATACTGACCTCTACTGTACTTAGAAAACATTACTTTTAAGACTTTTAAGCCTGTTTTTACAAGCATAAGCTCATGCCAAAAGTGATGTCATTTGTGGTGTCTGTGGCAGTGCACAAAAGGTTTGGTATCCTATAACTACACACATCCTACAACTGAACAGTGAGCACTTTTAGGTTTTTTTACTTGCATTTTAAATCTCATGCAAGAAAATTGAGTGGAGGCCGAATGAGCAAAAGTTTCTTTATGCTCAGTTAGTAGTAGAGTACTTTGAAAAGAAAACTTAAGAAATATTAATTTTAAAAAATCCATTACCAATCTAAAAATGATAAAGATTTAAATTATATTATATTATATTATATTATATATTTCTATTTTTTATATGTTTGCTTCTAGTAAATACTTGATTATAATTTTAATAATAAAATGTAAATGCAATTAATTTCAATTAATCACCCTAAATATAAAACGTAAAAGCAGGGTTTAGGCTAAGCCAGGATTAGGTCATAGTTCAGGTAGAACAAAATTGCATTTTTGTAAATGTGTCGTAGGAAAAAACATTCCTTGTGTCCCTCTTGGTCCATCTTGATCTGCTAGAAGGTGGGGGTATCTTCCTTATAGTGTCCATAATAACCATTGCAAAGCACTTAGGTTAAATTGTGTTGTTTTTAAATGAGCTATATTAATGTCTTTTTAGTTAAATTGTAATTGTTTGCATTTTTATAGCTTAACTTGATTCTTTAGCAGTTACCAATTCATTTTATCTATAGTTACAGTCCACTAAACTACTTACTGCCAAATTACTCAACAAATTACTTATTGTTGGTTCAGCTAATATTCCATCCTCTCTGCTGTCAGGAATAAAATACAGTAACTAAGGGTGCATGCAATCTGTACAGGTTTTAGTCTATTTAAAATGTGATATTGCGAGAACGGAATGTCTTTATATGTCTCACACGTACCTTTCCGGGAGACATCACAAATGAGGTTCCAGGCTTTGATGAAGTCTGCCTCTTTGCTTTGGAGTTTAACCACACATTTGTAGGCCCTCTTCTTAAACTCCTCATCCTCATCAAACCTCTTCTTAGACTCCTGATGAAGGCAAGAGGAACAAAGGTGTTGAATAGCTTTGAAAAGTAAAATAAATAATGCACATTGGATGTACTTTGCAAATGTAAAATGCATATCTAATGCGTCAGAACAAATGAACTGTGTGCAGTCTTTCCACTGACCTGCAAAGAACAGCAGATTTTAGCAGTTTCTGTATATGTTTGTGAATTTTTACAACATTTTTTTTTTTTTATTAAAAAAAAAAAAAAAAAAGAAATTTGAGTTTAGGGGGCCCTTAGTTTTTGCAGGGAATCGAAACAATGGGCAGGAGGGATGGTACTGGTAGGGAGCGATGATAATGGTAGGGAGGGATAGTAATGGTAGGGGAAACACTGGGCAGGAGGGATGGTAAAGGTAGAGAGGGATGGTAATAGTAGAGAAAACATTTGGCGGGAGGGATGGTAATGATAGGGAGGGATGTAATGGTAGGGCAGGAGAGATGGTAATGGTAAAGACGAGTGGTAATGATAGGGAAACCACTGGGAAGAAGGGATGGTACTGATAGGGTAAACACTGGGCAAGTGGGACCGTACTGGTAGGGAGGGTTAGTAATGGTAGGGGAAAGACTGGGCAGGAGGGACAGTACTCGTAGGGTGGGATGGTAATGGTAGGACAAACACTGGGCAGTAGAGAAGTACTGGTAGGGAAGTATGGTAATGTTAGGGAGGGGTGGTAATAGTAGGGTAAACATTAGGCAGGAGGGATGGTAAAGGTAGGACAAACACTGGGCAGGAGGGAGGTACTGATAGGGAGGGATGGTAATGGTAGGGCAAACACTGGGCAGGAGGGAGGTACTGGTAGGGAGGAATGGTTATGGTAGGACAAACACTGTGCAGGAGGGAGGTACTGATAGGGAGGGATGGTTATGGTAGGACAAACACTGGGCAGGAGGGAGGTACTGGTAGGGAGGGATGGTAATGGTAGGACAAACACTGGGCAGGAGGGAGGTACTGATAGGGAGGGATGGTTATGGTTGGACAAACACTGGGCAGGAGGGAGGTACTGGTAGGGAGGGATGGTAATGGTAGGACAAACACTGGGCAGGAGGGAGGTACTGGTAGGGAGGGATGGTAATGGTAGGACAAACACTGGGCAGGAGGGAGGTACTGGTAGGGAGGGATGGTAATGGTAGGACAAACACTGGGAAGGAGGGAGGTACTGGTAGGGACGAATGGTAATATTAGGGGAAACAATGGGCATGAGAGATGGTAATGTTACGGAGGTATGGTAATGGTAGGGAGGGATAAAACACTGGGCAGGAGGGATGGTAATGGTACAGACAAGCGGTAATGATAGGAAAAACACTGGGCAGGAGGGATGGTACTGATAGGGTAAACACTGGGTGGGTAGGATGGTACTGGTAGTGGAAACAGTGGGCAGGAGAGATGGTAATGGTATTACCATAGTAATGGTAGGGGAAACATGGATGGATAGGTGTCTACATTCTGATTCAATTGTTTGCAATGCATCATGGGACTATAGTTGTTTCTCTAAATTAATTTTTTTTTTATGTGAGATTTTTAATTTTAATTAAATTTTTGCTTGTATTGTGATTCAGCATATAATCATTTAGGTTTGGTTCATAACTTCTAAATGAGATTTCGATATGAAAACAGAGGCTTCAATGTGAATGAAAATACTCTCAGAAACTAATGATTTGTGCTCAATCTGTCATGTTTCATCTAAAAAAAAACAGGGGTAGCACATTTTGTCAGCTTCAAATGTCTATAAGAGGGAACAACCACCTCATATTTTCATATTTAATTTATTTATATTTATTTGTTTATTGTTTATTAGACTGGTAGTTCGTTCCAACTGACATTTAAAGCTGACATTTAAAGCACAGATCATCAGAAGACAGTCAAAAAGATGGGCAAGCACTGTCGCAAGCAAACCAAGTTGTTTTTAAATCATTTTAGCCTGCAAAAAAACAACAAAGCTGTGCCACCAAGTTTAGGTTAAACAATTGTTTTGAATTTAACAGATACTCACTTTGTAGAAAGCCTGAAGGTCACCAATAGGTGGAGACACACTGAGATAATTTGGGAACTTGTCTTGCAAATGAGCGATGAGCATCCCAAACTGTGTCCCCCAGTCTCCAACATGGTTCAACCTGACAGATAGAGGATGAAATGACAAAAGAGGTGCACTTAAGCTTCAGTGAACATTCAGATTACCAGCCAAAAGACATGCAATAAAAGAATAGCATTTTTGCTTTAGAGAGAGCAAAGTGGTTAATATATGTTTGACTTTCTGGCTGAGAATAGAGGTTTCTTAATCATGGAGAAATTGTTAATTGCATTTAAAACCTTTTATATAAATGAGTAAATCCTCTTTGAAAATGTAGATTTTTATCGATTTCTCTGTGAACGTAGACCATATATTTTGGTACATCCGAATGAAGTTGTTCTAACCATTTTTTATAAAAAAAAAAAAGAGTTGTCACCCAACATTATGGTTCTCTTAATTTGTCGGATTTATTAACACAATGATTAAAACACAAATGCTTATGAAATCCAAATCCTTTAAAGGATTGTTAGTCTGCATTATTTAGGGGCAACCGGAGCCGAGAACACTTCCCAAAAGACATAAGTTGAACGGCATCTGCACTTATGTTAGTCTTTTTTATTATTCCAGAGGTTTCCATAATCCTGGACCAGGCCCCATTCTGAGAGGCTGCTGTGGTGGTCATGGAGGAGTGGAGAGCATGAGACGGATTCCTGTAAGACCCCAGTGACAGATGAGTCTTCGCATTAATCCTGAAGGGCCAGCCTGTACACCAGCTGGTGACCTCTCCCACCTGCAGCTTCTCCACAAGGGACGTCCTGCTTTCTCCAGCCTCTGGTGCCAAGACTGCAGCTCTGCACAAGACATTTAGCCAGAGGAGAAATGGTCGTGCCCAACTGAGCCTGGTTTCCTGATTTTTTTTTTCCCTTTACTTTCGCCAATTGGTGAAGTTTGTTCCCCACCACTATCGCCACTGGCTTGCATAGTTTGGGACTTGTGGAGCTGCGCATCGATGGATTTACTCTTCATTGTTTAGACTTTCAACAAAGAAAATTAAACCACACTGAACTACACTGAACTCAAACTCTAAAAACTAGACTGACAGGGTTTCAATTTACTATAATCTTTTATGTGAAGCTGCTTTGAGACAATATACATTGTAAAAGCGCTATAGAAATAAAGATGAATTAAATTGAATTAAAACTTCATTTAATTTTTTGCATAATATATTTATTGGGATATACAAACTGTTATAATGTAATTTTAAATAATTTTGTAAGATTAGTTCCGGAACTGTATATAGACAAATATATTACTGTACACTACCTGACAAAAGTCTTGTTGCCTACCCAAGTTTTAGGAACAACAAATAATAACTTGACTCCTAGTTGATCATTTGGTATCAGAGGTGGCTCATGTGAAAGACAAAGGCCTCTAGATTACACTTATTCTACCTAAATAAAATACGGTTATGCCATGATTTTAATATAATTAGGACAGTAAGGTCTGACTTTGCTTAGACAAAAGTATTGTCACTTAACAGAAATAATGTACAGTATTGTGTTTAATTCCCATGAGCTCAGAGGACTGTATCCATGCATCTCTGCAATGACTCAAATCACTTATTAATAAAGTCATCTGGAATGGCAAAGAAAGCCTTCTTGCAAAACTCCCAGCAGAACTCCATCAAGAACCTTTTAGATTCATCCTCAATGCCTCCTCCTTCATCTTACCCTAGACATGCTTAATAATATTTATGTCTGGTGACTGGGCTAGCCAGTCTTGGAGCACCTTGACCTTCTTTGCTTTCAGGAACTTTGATGTGGAGGCTGAAGTATTAAACAAAAAAACAAAAAAAGCGCTATCCTGCTGAAGAATTTGCCCTCTCCTGTGGTTTGTAATATAATGGACCGCACAAATGTCTTGATACCTCAGGCTGTTGATGTTTCCATCCACTCAGCAGATCTCCCGTATGCCTCCATACTGAATGCAACCTCAAACCATGATTTTTGGTTCACCAAAGTTGACAAACTTTTGTGAGTATCTTGGGTCCATGCGGGTTCCAATAGGTCTTCTGTAGTATTTGTAATGATTGGAATGCAGTTCAACAGAAGATTCATCGGAAAACTGACCTTCTGCAACTCTTCCAAATGACCAACTTAGAAGTGGTTATTATTTGTTGCTCTTACAACTGGGATCAATGACAAGACTTTTGTCAGGTATTGTATAGCATCTAATAGAAAGTTTTATTTAAAACTTTTATTTAACTCCTGCAGAAATCATGTTTGTTTTTTAGATTAGCTAACATATTGAAAAATTATTATATGTTATATAAAGCAGAGAAGGGCTCGTTTACACAGCACGAGTCTTTGCATATCAAAAATGTGAGATGCAGCCCTTTTTAAAACCCAGCATAGACCAGAGCCATTGAGCACCTGTAAACGGAAGATTGCAATGCTTGCAAGTCAAATTTAAAACTTTTAGGACGTTTTAAAGACCATTATAAATGACATTTCAGACTTACATAAAGCTAAACGCTAAGGATTTTTTCTTGATGTTTCAGTTGGGCAAGCGCAAAAGATTGTTACTTGCCCAATCACAAAAACTGAATTGAGTTTTTTTCTTAGCCACAAAAATAAGGTGTCAATGTGTCAGCAAGCAAATAGACATAGTTTTCATACACATTTTTTCCCAACATGGCTTTTTTTTTGTTTAAAAGAGACTGTTTGATACATTTAATACTGTTGACCACTCTATTCTGCTGTCCAGATTGGTCAGATGAGGGCTTGAAAGGCACAGTGCTTTAAATGGTTTAAGTCTTTTCTATCTGATAGAAATTTTTCAGTCAAATTAGGTAACTTCTCATTCTCTTTTGCTGATCTCAATTGTGGGGTGTCTTTTCATTTCTATGCTGATGACACCCAGATTTACTTACCTATTAAGAGGAATGACCTTCTCACTCTTAGTACCTTATGACCTAAGGTGCTTTGACAAGATTAAAACCTGGCTGTCCCACAATTCTTTAACATTAAATGATGATAAAACAGTGGTGACTGTCTTCAACTCTACTGATAATGTTCAGGCCTCATGCCTAGATCAGGGCTGCTTAACTGCCTTCAGATCCCCCCGCATCCGCAATCTGAGTGTCATCCCTGATGAGTCATTGAAACTAGACAGACAAATTAGTTTGGTTACTGGCTCCAGTTTTTATCAACTCCATTTGCTGGCTAAAGTCAAACTTTTCTTAAATCCCACCACACTAGAGATGGCTGTCCACGCTTTTATTTCGTTACGGTTAGACTACTGCAATGCTAACTTTACTGTGGCATTTCAAAATCTCAAATTTCTCTCCTTCAGTTGGTACAAAATGTTGCGACGAGATTTATCTGTAAAAGCAGAAAATAGGACCACATTATCCCTCTTTTAAGAGGCCTCCATTGGCTGCACGTCCAATTCAGAATTGATTTTGAAGTACTTTTACTAATATATAAATCCCTTCATAATCTAGCCCCAACCTATCTCTCAGAGCTGTTGCATTTTTACATTACCGTGAGAACTTTTCAATCAAGTAAACAAAACTTTCTTTTAGTTCCTGAAACGTAGAGGGGGCAGAGACGTTTCTGTAGCGGGTCCTCGGTTATGGATCACCTTGCCCCTTGAGAATAAAATGGCTCCATCATGATCTATTTTTTAACTCACTCCTTAAAAACGTAACTTTTTAGCTTGGCTTATTTTTTGAATCGTCCTTTCTACTGCTACATCTTTACATTTTTTTTTGTTGTTTCTCTTGTCTTATTTCTATGTTTTTATATTCTGTCTTTATATTATATTTTTTACTTGTTTAGTCTTGAGACTATTTTTAAATGTGCTCTATAAATAAATTAAATTAAACTTGCACTAAATGGACAAGCTTTAAAAATATACATATATTAAAATTTATATATGCACTGTCCTGGCCATATATGGACTATAGACACATTACATAAAGAACTTTTAAACAAATGTTATTGTAAGAAAAATAATTAAACCACACTGGTAAATAAATGTTATAAACAAAGTTTTGAAAAAAGTTTTGAGATGGATTGATGTCGACTGCATACCTCATGGGTGTTTGCGCGACCGGGTAGCTTTACATGGATCTAGGAAAATTATGTTTAAATTAATTTAAAATAGTTTTTAAAAATGACCCACAAAACCATTTTTCAGAAAGGATATGCCTTTTCAAAGCCTAAAATTTTCTATTTGAAATTTAAGATACCTGACCCTGTGGACACCTTGTATGCAACAAAACCACTAGTCGAGGGTGTTTAATGTCATTAGCAAGGCCACACAGGACACGATATGTTAGAATTGCTTATTTTTCTGGATGTGAACATTTTTTGAAACATTTAGGATTATGTAAATTTAGAATATATAATACTTTTTTTTGTATTTTTTCAATATTTTACTGAAATAATCTTACAAAATGTACCTTTAATATAAGCCCACAGTTGAGCTTCACATCTTATCGAAACTAACCTTAGCACTTCATAACCCAGAAATTCAAAGAGTCGACACATGCTGTCTCCAATAATGGTGGATCGCAGGTGACCGACGTGCATCTCTTTGGCAATATTAGGTGAAGAGAAGTCCACAATGACCTGAAAAAAATGAAGATAACAAAAGAAAAAGAACACATGGCTTTATAGTTTATAGCCCTATGTTGCAATACAAGCCAAAGTGAAATTTGTACCTTCTTTTTCTTCTGAAGCGGCGGAGGCTGGACTCCATTGACGAGCACATTTGAGAGAAGTTTAGAGACAAAGTTCCGCTTGAGATGAACGTTGATAAAGCCTACGATCCAATATACACTTCATTAGTACAATAAATCTTTAAAATCAGGAGTGGAAAAGAATTACAGTGTTCTGAAACTATACCTGGCCCAGCAATTTCAGTTTTTTCAATTAAGTCATTGTTGGGAATGTTTTGGACGATCTTCTCTGCGATCTCTCTGGGGCTGACTTTCAGTCCTTTGGCTTTCATCATCTTAAAAGATAAATTTAAATCATTTGAATACTTATACTTAATAATAAAATTCGGCAAAATAGAACATAGTGGCATGTTTTATTGAATTTTCTTCTATATGAAGTCTGGAGAGACATAAAAAGAAAGTTCCAGAGTTCTATTAACTTAAAAAATAAAAACAAGACATGGTTTAAATGAAACTAACCTGAGACATGGCCATGGCACTGTTGCACTGATAGTCGCCAAACTTAGCCTGCTGACTGGGGGTGACCGAGAGTGGTGGGTTCTCTAGGTCAGGGTAGGCGGAACTAATGGCCTCCCCAAAGATCTGCTGCAAAAGCTGGTTGATGTTCAACATCGTCTTTCCGTTGTGGTTCATCTCCTCCTGCAAACTCTGAGAAAACAAGGCAGAAAGACAAAAGTAATGACTGAACTGTAGTTCTTTCTTGTAGGTCCAGTTGAAGTCATTAAGGCCCAATCCCAAATCTACCCATAGCCCTTCCCTCAGCCCTTAGCTTTTAAGTTAAAGAATAGGGGTGTCCCAATTCCATTTAGCTTGAAGGCGTAGGGCTTAGGGAAAGGGGTAGATACCCCATCGAACAGAGATTTTTCAGGACCACACTCGAAACCAAGGGGTAGGAAATTTTCCCAGAATACACCAGTCACAATGGCAGTATAGCTGCACCCGGAAGTCAATAGATGCACAAACTAGTATTTTGTTGTCATTTTTATGAATTTTTACAACAAACAAACATGTTTTAATACATTCATAACCGAGTTCGTGTTCTACCATCATGCTTAAAAAAAAAAAAACGCTAAAATAAAATATGTTAAATTTCGCTATCTATAATCCATAATAATAACTCCTGTACAGCAGTCCCACAAAATTCAGTCACTCGATGACACTCGAATACCCTGTCAGAAAAGTCTAGTGGCTGGGAATGGGCTTTTTACAGTGTCTGCTATAATGTTAACGTTGTTTTTTGTGTTTTTACATAGATGAATATGGCCACTCTGAAAATGCGCAGTATATGCAATACATGTTTAACATATAATTAAAATAAAGCAGCTGGAATAACTACATCAGTCGCGATCGTCTAATCTCATATGAAGCAAGAGATCGCCATGACATATGATGACGTGTGTTGCTGTAGTGCTGTCCCATTTCTTAGGGGTAAATTTTTAAGCCCTTCCCCTTCACACTCGGCTTTAAGGGCCACAAAAATAGGGGTACAAAAGGGGTACAAAAATGAAATTTGGATTGGGGCTTATTAGCCCTCCTGAATTATTAGCCTCCCAGTATAATTTTTCCCTAATTTATGTTTAATGGAGAGAAGATTTTTTCAACACATTTCTAATCATAATAGGTTTAATAACTCATTTCTAATAACTGATCTCTTTTATATTTGCCATTATGGCAGTAAATAATATTTTACTAGATACTTTTTATGTTAGAAGCGCAATTTAAAGGGTAAACTAGGTTAATTAGGTTAAATAGGCAAGTTAGGGTAATTGGGCAAGTCATTGTAAAATGATAGTTTGTTCTGAAGACATTCGGAAAAAAAAATTACTTCGGGGGCGAATAATATTGAAATGATCAAAATGATAGTATATGCAATATAAGTGTATTTTATTAAGTTAATTTTATGTGCCAAGCGTTTGTGTGCTGCATACATAGGTTGTTTATCCAAATCGGACCAATCAGATGGGGAGAATACATGAAAATACATGCCTTGGTATTTTTGGGCAAATGCTTGGGCTCATTTACTCACCAACGGACAATAACTTCTGGAAATTAAAGTTAGTGACTATAAAGATTGAAGCACAAAGTGCTGTTAAAGACGGACAGTTAACAGTTGTCACATATGACTTGAAAGTGTTGCTGAGTCTTCGCAGTTTAGTCAGAACAGCTTCAGTAGGTTCTGTTAACCTCTTAAAGCCTCTTAAGGCCCAAGTTTTTTGTTTTGTTTTGTTTTGTTTTGTTTTGTTTTTTCCCCACATGCATTTTTTTTCTCTTTGCTATTTGCTATTTGGGCTTATTAGTATAAAACCCAATTAGTATAAAACCCAAGTATAATCTTTTATAATGATTTATAATGATGTCCATATATATGACCTTGTGGTCCGAATTTCCATAAAACACAATAGTCACCTTTGTGTAATAAAGTGAAAAACTCTTTATTTCTGCCTTGAACACAGCAGTTTTTCCTGACTGTTTTTTAATACATTAATAACACATACACACATACTTTTGAACATGTTTTGACTATCAGTAAAAACAACATTTTTGGACAGTTAAAATAGTGTTTGGAACGTTTCATATGCTGCAAAACAGTTGCAGGATGACACAAAATATTAAAAAAAAATAAGACATAAGAGCTAAAATGTGCCGTCCACGTACATGGCCACTAAGCCCTATGAGGTTTATTGAACCCAGAGCTTAAATTAAAAACTAATACTCTGAGATGAGAGGAAAAAGACAATAGCCAATGAGAATCAGAATTTATGCTGAGGTATTTAGTAATTTGTGGTATTTTTTATTTTAATCTTTTTTATTATAATCAGCTCAGAAAAATATTTATTACCCGTTTATTTTAGTATGATCACTACATAAATAAATTATTTTAAATAGCTAATAAAGTTATTTTTCTTCATTATCCCCTTACAGTATAAAAAAAATAAAACTATAACTAATTAAATAAGCACTTTTAAAGTTTTTATGTAGAGGAAATTTATATAATTTATCATTTATATAAATATATTATATAAATGTATTATTATTAAAAAGAGTATTCATATAGTATTACGCAATGCATAAACTTCAGAAATAATTGTACTTATTATTAGGAGCATTGGAAGGCATAATGACTAAATTTAGAATATTTTTGTCATGTCACATAAAAACTATTTCCCTTAATTCAACCTCACAAAAATTAAGAAGGTACAGTACTTTATTTTTTAAGAAGGTTAATAGTGTTGAAAGGTTAATAAAAATACTACTACTACTACTACTAATAATAATAATAATAATATTAATAATAATAATAATTTAGAGAATATTTTTGTGCTATCATGCTAAGTTTTAGTGTATGTTTTTATCATTCTGTTATATGCAATAAACCTTTACTGTACAAGGACAAGCTGTACATTACATTACATAGAAAATACCAAGAAATTGCACAATAATTCAGTATAATTTGTAAACTACTAATCTTTTTCTGATATTAGTGCACAATCAATTCTGACACAACAGTTTGTCACACGTATGATATGAATGCTTAAATTGAACATATGATTAGGGCTTCAACAACGAATCGATTAAATGGATTAAAATTGATTATTAAAAGTGTTGCCAATGAATTTCATAAGCGATTCATTGTGTCGCGGGGACGTTTGACTATTAAAAGAATTTTAGTTGAGCGCGGAGTGGAGTGAACACACTCATTCTGTCTCACACTGATGCCAGCAGAGTTCAGCGCCTTATAGACAAGACAGAGCAGAAAAAATGATCTAAGGTAAAGTTGGAGAAAAGATACATGGCGAAGGCAGCGATATCTGTGTGACGCTAGTAATCCAAGGTGTGGAGCATTTCACATTAAAAACACAAAAAAAGTGTGTTAACGGCGGCCAAATATTAAAACGTGATGACGGGAGCACCACGGCAATGATCCAGCATCTGAAACAAAAACATGTTGGAGTCTTTGATAAGGAGGAAGGGAGCAACAGCAGGGTAAATCATTACAGAATCCTACTTTTGTTTCGTTTTGAATTGAGGAACATAATGTCCCTGGTGTTGGTGTTTACTTGTCATCCAGCTTGACAAGCATAAAGTGAAAAATCCAAACTGAGCTGTGGCGTATCACAATTATGCAGTGTTTTTAACCACCCAATGCTTATTTTATGTTTTAGACATGTGAATACACACAGGTACTAGTAAAACCATACATTTAGAGTTTGTAAAACACAAGAAAGTCTATAGAAGACTAATAATCAATTTAAATATAATTTGCAGATGTGTATTATTTCTATCAGATACACGTAACAATAAAGTTCAATCTTTTCGTCTCCCAGCTGGCCAGCCACTTGTTTGATGAATTTACGTGCTGAATCCTGCATGTCCCGCTCTTATGAATGAGGCATGCGCAAGGCCACAATTAAACATGGCGAGGCCCATTTCACATTTTAGATCACAATCAAGATCATTTATACGTCTTTTAAACAACAGAAAACACTCACTTACATGTTTTTGTGAGTTGAAATATCAGGTAGTTGATGACATGATGAGCAAGTGTGTGAATATTTTGTATTAATAAGGAAAAGCATAATAAAAGAAACACATCTGTCATACATCGCTATTGTGGCTGTGGTGTGTCACGTGACAAACATGACGTGTCGCCGCCGAAACATTAAGGGTGAACACTCTAAAATAATGATTGTCTAATAAAACTCACTCCTGGGGCCAGATACATTCATTAATTTATTCATTTTCTTGTAGGCTTAGTCCCTTTATTAATCTGGGGTCGCCACAGCGGAATGAACCGCCAACTTATCCAGCAAGTTTTTACACAGCAGATGCCCTTCCAGCCACAACCCATCTCTGGGAAACATCCACAGACACATTCACACACACACTCATACACTACGGACAATTTAGCCTACCCAATTCACCTGTACCGCATGTCTTTGGACTGTGGGGGGAAACCGGAGCACCCGGAGGAAACCCACGCGAAGGCATGGAGAACATGCAAACTCCACACAGAAACGCCAACTGAGCCGAGGTTCGAACCTGCGAACGTGCTACCCACTGTGCCACATTTTTTTAAAACTCACCAGTGAAAGGGTTAATGACAGAAGTAAAGTAGCGGTGGTATAGTTACTTCTAAAGACACATTTTTTTATTCATTTGCTTTTTTTTTATCATTTATTTTTCCATCTGTTGTCATGTATAGCTACACTACAAAAAAAGCTTTTATTTCTTAGTAATTTCATCTCGTTTCCAGTCCAAGTTGTTTATCTGTCTATTCTATCTGTTTTCTGAATAATTTTGAGATATTGAGCTTCAAAGTTTTTTGCATTCCATGTATGTATGCATGAATGTAAATTATCAAAGTTCTCTTACATTTGCAAATTCGAGTGAAAAAACATGGTAAATGCAATTAGAACCTTCTAATTCAGAAAAGTAATTTTTTCCGCTTTTTTTTTATAAGGTTCTATCTGGCAGATCATTCATCATTCATTTTCAAGAAATACAATCAAAAAAAAAAAAAAAATATATATATATATATATATATATATATATATATATTTATATTTATATATATATATATATATATATATATATATATATATTGATATTGTAACAATATGTTGATGTTTGAGAAAGTTAAATTTTTGCTTTCTATAACATTTATTTCATGTTTTAAGATGAATATTTTTTCTTTGGTTAAATTAATCATACATGGCTGGGCTAAGTATTTTGTCCAGCGCAGACGTTAATTTTATCCAATTAATATGGTAATATTAATTAAATGTTATGCTTTATATGAATGATTAAATTATATTTATTGGATTATTTGCCCCATGAATTAAATTAAGTACTTGCCCTTCAAGGATTACTATCAAATTTAAAGACTTTAAAAGAAAACAGAAAATGTGCAAATGAGTTTAATAAACACTGAAAAATGTTTCACTGACTATATATACACACAAATAAAAATATTTGATATTTAATATATGACTTTTTTAATTACCGTTTCTTTTTTCAACAATGTTAAATTTAACATTTCATCTTAATGTCCAAAAATGTTGCTAAATCATCACTTTTACACACATCTTTTCAGTTTCATGGTTTCTTCTCAGTTTTGTGTGGTGCGGAATGATTTAGTCGACTCTGATTTTGTGTGATTTTGTCTTTCTGGTCTTTCCCGCTGTCAATGGAGCAGTCCGGCGAAATGACAAAGAAAGCTGATCCTGGTTGGTCCTCGTGTGTGCATTAAAAAAATGCTGATTGGCTCGCTGAAAGAACCTTATAGAGCCAAGCTACAGTTCAACTTCGCAAATAAACCGTTTTAGTTTTTTAAATAAAAAGTCTTAAAATGTAAACAACTTACACAAAAAAACATCACATAATGTAAATAAGTAGTCATTTAATAAGAATATGTGAGCAACTCAATTTTGACAAAAAATGTCAAATAGAACCGTATCATTTTAAGCTGACGAAATATCTAAAAACTCATAAATCAAGATTACTAGACAAGAAAATGGCATAAGAAAATGATGTGATGTTTAAAACTTCTGTTTGAGATTATATCTCATTAAGATTTTTTTCTTGCTTTAAAAAAAACAATCACTTAATTTTTTTCAGAAAACAAGACATAATTTCTTATGCTATTTCATGCGTCTAGTATGTATCTTGATTTTTTTTTTTTTTTAGATATTAGCCCTACATATTATTAGTCTAGGCATTAAAGGTCAAGTTCTGCAATCTAGGAGCGTTTAGGAAAAGGGAAAAAGAGAAGGATCGGAAGGGTAAAGTTGTGATATGTGGCCAAGTGTGGTGGGACCCATACTTGGATTTGTGTTGTTTATTTAGCCTATCCAAATGCGCACACACACACAAAGCAGTAAAAACGCACACATAAAAACAAACACCTAGACCAGTGGGCATATAACAATAAAAATCACATCACACTCACTCTTTTAAGAATATTGAGGCGGTATTTCAGACGGGAATTCTCCTCCCGCAGCTCATCCAGTTGTGAAGATGTCAAGTTTAAATCATGTGGATCTCTCAATCTCTCGATTTCATCTTGGAGCAACTTGATTTCTCTTTCCTGTATGGGTGGTTTGGAAGGCAGAAAATCTCAAACAGCTTAAGAACAAAGACCAAACACAGCTCAGTTATAAAAACGCTTCAAAGTCCAACCTATTTATGGTATCAACTAATCACAACCATATTGTTTATTAACCTGCACACTTCTGTTTTACTTTCACTTTAACTAAAAATGTAATACTTCATTATCTTCCTATAAAGGTGAATGGTTTGAGTAATTACCTTTTAGGCATCAGCTGTAGGCATCATCATTTTCATTATGCATTATTGTACAGTATTTTAACTATAGCTCTCTACATTATGATGCTTTATATATTTGTAAAGCACTCTAATAATATAGTATTGACTATTAAAAGAAACAACTAACGTTAAACTCAAACATAACGTTACAGAGCTGAATGTGCAAAATGTAGCATGGAGATGCATGAGATGACGACTGTCAGACCTGGATGAGCGTTTCAGTCTATTACGTCAGAGCACGAGAAACACATGGATAAAGGAACACAACTTTTAAACTTGAACTATTGTTTAAACATGTTAATGAAGAAAAAAGCTGACCTGACGCTGAAGTCGTGACGCGTATTCGGTAACGGGGTCCCCCATCTTTTCGGAAAATGTGTTGAACAGCCACAAATGATACAATTAGACGGAATACTTCTCCAAAACGTGAAGAACTGCTTTGGCCGGCTTCACTGCGTCACTTCCGCTTTCAAGCGAGTGAACAAAATCTTCCGAAAGAATCAGTTGCAGCGATTCACAAAACTGGTCTGAACGATTCACGGTTCAATGGTCCTGTTCCGGAAGTAAAACTCCTGTTGTGTGGGGAATTTTATTGATATCTTACTGCTGTTGTTGAATGCAGTCACTACTTTATTGTATTTCCTGTCTAGGGGAATTAGAAAAATCAGTCCTGTTATTCTTGTCTAATCAGATCACACATAGAAAGTAAATCGCATCATAATGAACTACCTCAAGACATGAGCTCTTTATGAATGCAACAAACTGTTTGGAAGCATTAAAAGTGTCCAAGAAAATGTCTAAAATCTTTACACACAATGATCGAGAGACTGTTTTGACAGTATGTTATGAAGAAAAGATGACGGATGTTTACTGTATGATGACCGAAATGGCCTTAACTATAAATAAATGCACTACAGAATGTTACGTTTACACACACACACACACACACACACAGAGAGAGAGAGAGAGAGAGAGAGAAATTACATGTAAGTACATCGCTTTTTACAACATACTCACAACTCACCACTCTTAAGTAGTTTTTAAAGGGCTACTTTTCACAATTTCTTTTTTTTTTTTTTTTTTTTTTTTGAGTAATATTTACAACAGATACTTTTTACTGTATTTGCACTATATTTTGGGGCAAGAAATGGTACCTGAGAAACTTTTACCTGAGTATGATTTTACAGTACTCTTTCCACCACTGCTGTTTTGTGCCTTTGTTTTTTTTGTACGTTTATCTTAGTTTTTTTTGTGGGTTAATATAACAGCTTACAGTTGTATGTGATTCACCGGTTGTGTAATAGAGACATTGGCATATTTTTCTACTGATAAAATATAGTCAACAAACAATTTTTTTTCTTTCTCTCTCCAAAAAGATAAATAATAATAATAATAATTTTAAAGATGACTCACCACAATGCTCTTTTGTAATTTTAAATTTGATTCACTGGTATAAAATAACAATTGATAATTACAAGGTTATATTGACAATTAATGTAAATAATGAATTATTCTTATTTTTGTATATTTAAAGCGAGTTATTAGTATATAGTATATTATATGTATAAGGGGTGGTGTGTGTGTGGGGGGGGGGGTGATTATTATTATTTGATTTCACTGTCTATTAGTCTTGCATCTGTTTTCATGAAAACAAGATATGCAGAATTGAAAACATTTTAGATACTTGTTGTTGTGTTAGTATTGTTGTTTTTTTATGTACATTATTAATACTATCTTGTCACTGCTGTAACATTACATCATTGTAAGTTCTTTTCATGTGAGCCTACAGGACTACAAAACTTTTTTGTAACTTACAATCTTAATATCTATTGATTTTTGACAATAAAAAATATCTATAATTTTGACTCAAATGTATTGTTGGCTATTCCTAGAAATACATCTGTGCAACTTAAGAAATAAAAAAACTCATGAACCCAAAGCCGAGCACTATTCTGTTGCACACAAACTAAACAGAGTCATTTTAAAATTGGCTCCTTTGAATCAACAGTTTGAATGAACCGATTCACAGAGTCGGAGGAGGAACTCGGTGACGCCGCTTACAATGAAACTAATAAAATCGATTTATTAAGTTGCACAAATTGTAAATTCAGTTCAAAACACGACAAAAACAAAACCGCACCCTGTCAATGATAAGTACTTAGGAAAACAAAACAACTGCATTGAAGGAGAAATAAAAAAGTACTACACGACAAACTCTTAACCGGGAGGTGGCAGTAAGCACAGTAAACAGGCCGTCATAAGCAGAGAGAAGAAGAACAAAGCAAATCTTGTGGTACCCAAAGCAGTCAGCCTGAGCTTGAATGAACTGCCTATTATGTAAGTGACAAACCTTACCCTATTCTTCTTCTCAGCGTGGTTTAGATTGTTTCAGGATGAAATGATTAGAGAAATTAACAGCGTCGTTACGACAGCTAGATCACACCCAATTAATGCATTAAGCATGCAAAATAACTTAATGAGTTCAAAAAGCTAAGTAGCTAATACATACATGCTTGTTCAAGCATCAACATTCCACATCCATCCATCAAGATCTTTAACAAAATATGTTCGGTAAAAACAAATAAATTATTTTATTTACACTTGTAGACAAAAAAGATTTGCAAATGTAATATTATACAGTCTACACAGTTGTTTATGAAAGGCTTTTAAATGAGGTTGTTTTTTTTGCTTTATTTTTTTGTATAGATATGTAGCACCTGACCCATTTGTCTTGTGTATTGACCACCAGTGGACCTCTACTGTTGCTTATGTTGGTGTAGTGTTGCCAAGGTAGTCTATACATTTATATATATATATATATATATATATATATATATATATATATATATATATATATATATATATCTCTCTGTGTGTGTGTGTGTGTGTGTGTGTGTGTGTGTGTGTGTGTATTTATTATGTTTTAATACCATATCAGCAGCATTTATTATTAGGGCTGCACAATATATTGATTCATTCATCGATATCTCAATGTGCAAAACTAAAATAGTCCACATCCAAGGATCCCGAGCTATTTCAAGTGTATTTAAACCATTTAGACGCAAAAATGATAAAGTTTGCAACGTTAACAAGGATTAATTGTTTACTTATTTATACAATAAAGTTTATGCCATTTTATTTGATTATTGAATTTCTGTTATGCCACTTTTTACAAGATTTAAAATAAGTCTCTGATGTCCCTAGAGCAGGGGTCTCAAACTCAAATTGGTGGGGGGCTATTTCAGTGACTGACAATTCATAGGAGGGCCGTTTTAACATTCAAGTATAAGAATAATAAAAGTAGAAACCTGACATAATTGATCTTAGGACAACAGACATGATGTTTATATTTCAAGCATACTAGTGATAATGCAAATCAGCACGTTTATCTTGTCACACATCAGCTGTTGAAATAAATCTGTGGTTGTTGTGTGTATGGCCGAGGATTAGAAACACACCCAGTCATTCTTACACAGAGTATATGCAGCTAAAGCTTTTTGTTTCTTGTTGTGTATTGAAGGGGGAGTTTAAATTGCTACGAAAATACTGCAAATAACAGACATAATAATTATTATTCTGTCTCAACCAATTGTATTGTACAATAGCGTAAGAACAGCAGAAAATAGGTTGGGTAACTTAAGTGACTTTACTGGCAATTGTTCTTTTCAATAACTTTTTCTTTTGTAAAACTACAACAGAGAGAGGGGGGGTAAAATTTTAATAATGTACATAGTTTGTGTGCAAATCACAATAAGCATGTAAGGAAAATCTGTTAAATGAGATCATTTGAATCAAATATTTGCAAAATTATCATACATTGCAATATAAATAATTCTGACTTCAACTGTAAATATCGATGCATGTATTGTGCACAAGGGTGGTTTGTGGTTTATGACATGCTGACGTGCAAATAACAGAAAACTGTCCTTCACAGCTCGTCCACCAGCATGTCAGTTTCGGTTATTATCAAGTGGGGAGGGCAGGAGTACTCCATTAATACGCTGTCCGAGGAAGACACTGTGCTGGATCTGAAACAGTCCATTAAATCGCTCACAGGAGTCCTGCCAGAAAGACAAAAGCTCCTGGGGTTGAAACTGAAAGGTGAGTGCCACTGAAAACAGTAGCAATGTCTAATACCCATTAGGAAAATTCGGAAAAGTGGAAACAAAATTTAAAAAAAAAAGATCTTGAGTCATCTTTACACAGAGATTTAAGGTGGCACTAAAGCAGGTCTGGGTCTGTTCGGAATTCAGTGTAAAGACTAGAGGTGCAACAATTCAGATTTTGGTTTGGCTTTCAGTTTTTGGTATATATGTTCAGTAAAAAAACACTGTCAAATAGGTCATTTTTTTTTTACATAACATTGATATTGCAATAGCCACATTTCCACTGTCGGGCCAGTGCGACCCAAGGCTTTTATCGAGCCGGCCTATCATCCGGGAGGTTGAGCAGTGAGGCCGAAATCATGTCGCGTTTCCACTGTCAGGCTAGAAGCTCGCAGCGCGTCATGTAACCGCCGCCCCCAGAACGTCCCCTGAATCAAACGTCACACAACCTGCCCATTTCAGCGGGAATAAGGCAGATAAAGCACACCATCACACATCATCACGAACTATTAAAATGAAAACAACCGAAACAAACAAATAACACGTTACTGTACAGCAGAACATTATATGTCTATACGCACATGCCTGTGTGTTCTCATTCATTATATTCATTTACTCGCCGACCTACTATTGGCATTGAACATTGAGTGTCATTGTCACAATTAGCATTGTCTCCCCAGCACAGGAAGCGCACCATCCATAATATAACACCACAGAAATTCTCCGTTAACACATCGGTAGAAAATGTATTTTTATAACATCCTCATTTAGACTCTGCATGTCAAACATTCAGCCCAAATGCTCTGGAGAGCCCTGGAACATATACATTTTTCCTTATGACTATATGACACTTAATTGGAAATTCCCCTTTATTTAAAGATGTTGCATATTATTCTGTGATCTTAAGGAAAGTGATAAGTATTTCAGCACATAAGAGCAAGTAATAAAATATAGCCTATATTTTATTGCACTCAGCAGCTTTTCACTAATAAAACTCTTCATGTATTTAAAATTTCTTTTTTTTTATTTTACTACATCATATAAAAACATAAAGACTTGTTTGAGGACACAGAACACGCTGCGCTTGACAGAAAAAAAAAGTAGCCTAGTTTCTGCTTTCACTCACCTAAAAAATGCTATCTATGATTTGATTACTATCAATGTATCTAAATACTTTATAAATAATATTTCAAACCTCCTCCAGTGTTTATTGTTTTTAGAAAATATCTAAAATCTTTTTTTCAGACAGGCTTTTATAAAATGAAAGTTTAATGTGGCTTTAAAACGGTTTGATTTGTGTATTGTATGTTTCTACATTGTTATAGCTAGCTTTTTT